CCGAGGAGGAGAGCTGGTCCTTCAGTCCAAGGAGAGCGAGCAGCAGAGGGAAATCCAACAAGGGTCCAAAGGGGAACGAGGAGGGCTGGCAACTGGAGGCAAAGAGGCACAAGGAATACCTGACAGGCCAAGGGATCCAGGTCAGGTCACGAGGGAATCCAAAAAAGCACGAGGAACCAGGAAACTGGAAAAAAGAGCAAAGGTGAACAAATTCTTTTCACCAAGACATTTGCCTCACAACAGTACTATACCATAAGAGGTGATATGCTCCAGCGTTGAGTCACACCGGACTGCAGCCTTAAGTAGATGGAGAGGCTCATCAGGCTGATGGCCGCCAGGTGTTGGTAATCAGCGGCCATCAGCAAGGCAGGCTGCAGGCAGTGGGACCCTTACAGTACTCCCCCCTCAAGAATCGCCTCCTGGCGACCTGAGGCGCTTCTCGGGGTGGTCTCTGTAGAAACAGGAAATAAGGCTAGGATCAAGGATGAAGGACCTGGGGATCCACGACCTCTCCTCAGGACCGTACCCCTCCCAATCGACCAGGTATTGGAAGCCCCTACCCCTGCGTCTCACATCCAAGATGGAACGGACGGAGAACGCAGGGTGGTTGTCGATCAGGCGGGGCGGCGGAGGGAGGTCAGATGGAGGACACAGGGGACTGAGGGAGACAGGCTTAACCTGCGAGACATGAAACGTTGGGTGAATACGCATGGCCCTGGGAAGCTGGAGGCGGACCGCAGAGGGGTTGATAATGCGGGTGATGGGGAAGGGACCAATGAAGCGGGGGGCCAGTTTGCGAGGGGTGTCTCGCAGCTTGATGTCTTTGGTGGACAGCCAAACCTGCTGGCCGACCTGGTAGGCGGGCGTCTCCGAACGGTGGCGGTCAGCGAACCGTTTTGCCTGGGCTGCGGTCCTAAGGAGGGCCGCCTTGGCCTGGTGCCAGATGCGACGGCAACACCTAAAATGATGCTGGACGGATGGGACCGAACAGTCTGTCTCGGAATCTGGAAACAAGGGAGGATGGTAACCAAGGGAGGCCTCAAAAGGGGACATGCCGGTGGCAGAGGAGCGGAGGGAGTTGTGAGCATACTCCACCCAAACCAAGTGCTGGCTCCAGGACGAAGGATTGGACTCGACCAGGCAACGCAGTGTGGACTCCAGCTCCTGATTGCAGCGCTCGGCTTGTCCGTTAGCCTCAGGATGGTAACCAGAGGTGAGGCTAACGGACGCCCCGAGCAACTTGCAAAAGGAGTGCCAGACCTGGGAAATGAACTGCGGGCCTCGGTCAGAGACTATGTCCGATGGAATCCCATGGAGCCTAAACACATGGAGGGTGAGTAAGTGGGCAGTTTCAAGGGCAGAGGGGAGCTTAGGGAGGAGGACAAAATGAGCGGCCTTAGAAAAGCGGTCGACCACCGTGAGGATGGTGGTGTTGCCGTCAGATGGGGGAAGACCAGTCACAAAATCAAGGGCGATGTGGGACCAAGGGCGACTAGGTGTCAGGAGGGGGAGCAGAGGGCCAGCCGGGGGTTGAGTACCTGACTTGTTTCTGGCGCAGACAGGGCAGGCAGAAACGAAGTCCTTGATATCACTATTCATGGAGGGCCACCAGAAATGGGTTTTGGTGAGGGAGAGCATGCGGTTGACTCCAGGGTGGCAAGAAAGTTTATTAGAATGCAGCCATTGGAGCACCTGGGACCGCACGCTGGAGGGAAC